CCCAGGGACCCCCGTGCCCCCTCCCCGGACCCCCGCCGGTCCCCCCGGCCCACTCACGGCGCGGAGCACGCGTGGCCCGCCGGCCGCTCCCTTATCCAGGCGCACCCACTTGTTGGCCATGGCCTTGCTGAAGCCCAAGGAGCCCCCGGGCAGCTTCTGCGGGCACACGGCGGCCGTCAGGAGCGCGGCGGCGGCCGCCGGTGCCCGGTGCGGCCGGTACCCACCATGGCCTCGGCCTGCGGCAGCCCCTCCTCGGGCAGGCTCCGGAACAGCCGCACCTCGGGGCTGCCCTCCCGCAGCACCTCCTCGCCCTCGGGGCTCAGCTCCCATCGCGTGGCCGTCCTCGCCTCCGCCTCGATCACCTGCACCGGGGGCACCGGGGGCAGCGGGGGCGGAGAGCGCCGTGTGCTCCCTGAGGTGACAGGGGACACAGGAGCCGCTCCTCAGGTGTGGGGACAGGGAGGGCGAGGGGGCTGAGGGCCACGAAGGGTGGGGGGCTCAGGATCAGCCCCGGGCAGGCAGAGCAGGTGGAACAGAGGGCAAAACAGCAGGAAAAGGATTGTGAGAAACACAGACAGGGCTCCTGGGGAACCGTGCTTTCCCCTGCAACCCTAAAACCACCCAGCAAGAGACCTGCCCCGAGCTCCCAGGGCGGGCAGGAGGGGTTTGGGGGTGCAGAGGCCAAGCCTGGAGGAGCCCAGGGCGCTGATCCTGCCCCCTCACAGACGCCTGGACCCGCCGGTGGGTGGAATCCAAGCACAAACCCGACTACGGGCGCTTCGTGCTGACCGCCGGCAAGTTCTACGGCGACGCCGAGAAGGACAAAGGTGAGCAGGGCTCCGGGCGGGCGGGGAAGAGCTCCAGGCCGGGCTTTCCCCCCCGCTCACTCCCTCCCCGCGCGCCGCAGGGATCCAGACGAGCCAGGACGCCCGCTTCTACGCCCTGTCGTCGCGCTTCGAGCCCTTCAGCAACCGCGACAAGACGCTGGTGGTGCAGTTCACCGTCAAGCACGAGCAGAACATCGACTGCGGCGGCGGATACGTCAAGCTCTTCCCGGCCAGCCTGAGCCAGGAGGACATGCACGGCGACTCCGAGTACAACATCATGTTCGGTGGGCGTCCCCCCTGAACCCCCCGAGCCCCCTCGGGGTGGGCTCAGCCCCTCCCTGACCCCTCGTGTCCCCCTCCACAGGCCCCGACATCTGCGGCCCCGGCACTAAGAAGGTGCACGTGATCTTCAACTACAAAGGGAAGAACGTGTTGATCAACAAGGATATTCGCTGCAAGGTGGGTCTGGGGGTGCTGCTGTGCCCCTCGGGGGGGTGGCCAGCCCTGCTAACCCCCCCTGTGCCCCCCAGGATGACGAGTTCACCCACCTGTACACGCTGGTGGTGCGGCCGGACAACACGTACGAGGTGAAGATCGACAACGCCCGCGTGGAGTCGGGGAGCCTGGAGGAGGATTGGGATTTCCTGCCCCCCAAAAAGATCAAGGACCCCGAGGCCAAGAAACCCGACGACTGGGACGAGCGGGCCAAGATCGATGACCCCGAGGACACCAAACCCGAGGTGGGGGGCTTTGGGGGGCTTGTGGTAGAGCCCTGGTGGGATTTGGGGGGCTGGGGGAGCTCTCAGGGGTCTCCAGGGGCTGAGAAGGACTGGGGAAGCACTGTGGGGGGCACAGCAGCCCCTGGCGGGGCACAGCAGCCCCCTGGGGGTCCCAGCAGCCCCCTGAGCCCCCCGACCCCCCTGCAGGACTGGGACAAACCCGAGCACATCCCGGACCCCGACGCCAAGAAACCGGAGGATTGGGACGAGGAGATGGACGGGGAGTGGGAGCCCCCCGTGATCCAGAACCCCGAGTACAAGGTGGGGCCTGGGGGCTGCAGGGGGGGCTGGGGAAGGGGCTGAGCCCCCTCTGAGCCCCCCCTTTGCGCCCCCCAGGGCGAGTGGAGGCCGCAGCAGATCGACAACCCCGACTACAAGGGCAAGTGGGTGCACCCCGAGATCGACAACCCCGAGTACAGCCCCGACCCGCTGCTCTACGCCTACGACAGCTTCGGGGTCATCGGCCTCGACCTCTGGCAGGTCAGGGGGGGTCCCGGGGGGGTGGGCTCGGGGCTCCCGGGGGGCCGCAGGACCCCCTGACTCGCCCCCGCCCGCAGGTGAAGTCGGGCACCATCTTCGACAACTTCCTGATCACGGACGACGAGAAACTGGCGGAGGAGATCGGGAACGAGACCTGGGGGGCCACCAAGGTGAGGGCCGAGCGCTGACAGCCGCGTCCCGCCGGCAGGGAAGGCGAAGCAGCGGCTCAGGGAGCAGTACCGGCTGGGCTCCCTGCTGGGCCGCGGCGGCTTTGGCAGCGTCTTCGCCGCAACGCGGCTCTCGGACGGCGCCCCGGTGAGCGGCGGGGGCGGGGGGGGGGGCGGGGGGGGGGGGGGGGGACGGAGGCGGGGGGGGGCACCAAGGTGAGGTGGGGCCAAGCCCCCCGTGACCCCCCCGGTGCCCCCCGGCCCCTCCCGCAGGACGCCGAGAGGAAGATGAAGGAGCAGCAGGACGAGGAGCAGCGGAAGAAGCAGGAGGAGGAGGAGAAGCAGCAGAAGGAAGAGGAAGGGGACGACGAGGGCGACGGCGACGAGGAGGAGGAGGATGAGGAGGAGCCCGAGGCCGAGCCCGAGGAGGCGGAGGCGGCGCCGCGGGACGAGCTCTGAGGGCCCCGCGCCGGCCCCTTCTGTCTCTGTGAGACCTGGACTCTTTTCTATGGGCGCCGCCGCCCGCGGGCCCGGCCAAGCCGCGACCGCGCCGGGCCCGAACCGGCACGGCCGGGACCGAACCGGCACCGGGCGCCCCGCGGGCCGAGGACTCAGGACCAGCGCCGGGGGTGGGGAGGGTGCGGAGCGGGGGTTTGTCGGGGGCGGGGGGAGCACCGGCGGTGTCGCACGGGACTGTACGGGGGTGTCGCGATTCGGTTTCTATTAAATTAACCACGGTCCCGGCGCCGCCGCCTTCTCCTCGTTTTATTGCCGCTCTGCCCCGGCCCGCGCCATGTTGCGGCCGCCGCCATTTTGTGCCGCCGCGCGCGTCACGTGACCGCGGCCGCGGCCTCGCGTTCGCTCCCTCGCCCGCGTCACGTGACCGAGCGCCGGCCCGCGCGCGGGTTTTTTTTTTTTCCCCGGCATCACGTGACGAGGAACGGACACACGCACACCGCGCGCGCGCACGTCCCGCGGGGAGGCGCGCGCGCCGGCGCCGTGACGCACTTCCGGCGCCGCGGCGGAAGCGGCGGGGCCGCCTAAGATGGCGGCGGCGTGAGTTGCATGTTGTGGGGCCGCCGGGAGGAGCCGCCGCCGCCCCGTCCCCGTCCCGCCATGGCGGTGACCGTGACGCTGAAGACGCTGCAGCAGCAAACCTTCAAGATCCGCATGGAGCCGCACGAGACGGTGAGGCCGCGGCGCAGCCCCCGCGGGGGGCGCGGGCGGGGCCGGGCCCGGAGCTCGCCCCCCCCTTTTTTTGGGGAGATTCTTTGGGATTTGTGCCTTTTTTGGGGTTTGATTTTGGAGGTTTTTTTGGGCAGATTTTTGGGAACATTTGGGATTTGTGCCTCCCCCCAGGCATCACATGGGGAGATTTTTTGGGGAGATTTTTTTGGGAATATTTGGGATCTCTGCCTCCTCTCGGGGACTGTTTGTGGGGGATTTATTTTGGGAAAAAATGGGAATATTTGGGGTTGGTGGCTCCTCCCAGGGATCACCTGGGGAGGTTTTTTTGGGGAGATATTTTAGGAATATTTGGGATTTTTGCCTCCACTTGGGGAGATCCATTCTGGAGGATTTTTTAGGAATATTTGGGATTTGTTGCTCACTTGGGGAGACCCATTCTGGAAAGTTCTTTAGGGATATTTGGGGTTTGTGCCTCATTTTTGGAGATTTAGCTGGGGGGATTTTTTAGGAACATTTAGGATTTGTGCCTCACTTGGGGAGATCAATTCTGGAGAGTTTTTTAGGGAATATTTGGGGTTTGAGCCTCATCTGGGGAGATTCTTTAGGAGCATTTGGGGTTTGTGCCTCACTTGTGGGGATCCTTTCTGGAAAGTTCTTTGGGACCGTTTGCGCTCAGTCCCTGCCCGGCTCTGGGGGGCTCTGGGGGCTCTGGGTTGGTTCTGGGGGTCTCTGGGGGCTCAGGGCGGGCTCTGGGCAGGTGCTGGGGGGGCCCTGATTTGGTTCTGGGTTGGTTCTGGGGGGTCTCTGGGTTGGTTCTGGGGGGTCTCTGGGAGGGTTTTGGGGCACCATGACCCCCCGGCGCAGGTGCAGGCTCAGGGTTAGTTCTGGGTGGGCTCTGGGGGCTCCAGGGGTCTCTGTGAGGGTTTTGGGGTGCCCTGACCCCCCGCTGCAGGTGCAGGCTGCGGCGCCCTGACCCCCCGCTGCAGGTGTGGGCTCTGGGTTGGTTCTGGGGGTCTCTGGGTTGGTTCTGGGGGGTCTCTGGGGGTCTCCGCGGCGCCCTGACCCCCCGGCGCAGGTGCGGGCGCTGAAGGAGAAGATCGAGGCCGAGAAGGGCAGCGAGGCGTTCCCCGTGGCCGGCCAGAAGCTGATCTACGCCGGCAAGATCCTGAGCGACGACGTGCCCATCCGCGAGTACCGCATCGACGAGAAGAACTTCGTGGTGGTCATGGTCACCAAGGTGGGCGGGGGTCCTGGGAGGGAGCTGGGGGGGAGCTGGGGGGTCCCTGTGGAAAGTTCAGAGGGTCTGGGAGCCATTTGGGGAACCCTGAGGGGTCCTGGGAAGGAGTTGGGGGTCCCTGTGTGAAGTCTGGAGGGTCTCAGGGCCATTTGGAGGAGCCCTGAGGGGTCCTGGAGAGGGAATTGGGGGTCCCTGTGGAAAGTTCAGAGGGTCTGGGAGCCATTTGGGGAACCCTGAGGGGTCCTGGGAAGGAGTTGGGGGTCCCTGTGTGAAGTCTGGAGGGTCTCAGGGCCATTTGGAGGAGCCCTGAGGGGTCCTGGAGAGGGAATTGGGGGTCCCTGTGGAAAGTTTGGAGGGTCTGAGGGGTCTCTGAGCCATCTGGGGAAACACTCAGGGGTTCTGGGCAGGGAGCTGGGGGTCCCTGCGGAAGGTTTGAGGGGTCTGGGAGGGATTTGGTGGTCCCTGTGTAGGATTTGGAGGGTCTGAGGGGTCTCTGAGCCATCTGGGGAAACACTGAGTGATCATGGGGAAGGAGTTGGGGGTCCCTGTGTAGGGTTTGGAGGGTCTGGGAGCCATTTGGGGAACCCTGAGGGGTTTCTGGGAGGGAGTTGGGGGTCCCTATGTGAAGTTTGGAGGGTCTCAGGGCCATTTGGGGGAACCTGAGGGGTCCTGAGGAGGGAGTTGGGGGTCCCTGTGGAAAGTTTGGAGGGTCTGAGGGGTCTCTGAGCCATCTGGGGAAACACTCAGGGGTTCTGGGCAGGGAGCTGGGGGTCCCTGCGGAAGGTTTGAGGGGTCTGGGAGGGATTTGGTGGTCCCTGTGTAGGATTTGGAGGGTCTGAGGGGTCTCTGAGCCATCTGGGGAAACACTGAGTGATCATGGGGAAGGAGTTGGGGGTCCCTGTGTAGGGTTTGGAGGGGCTGGGAGCCATTTGGGGAACCCTGAGGGGTTTCTGGGAGGGAGTTGGGGGTCCCTATGTGAAGTTTGGAGGGTCTCAGGGCCATTTGGGGAACCTTGAGGGGTCCTAGGGAGGGTTCCAGGGGGTTTGAAGGGTCTCAGGGCCATTTGGGGGAAGCTGAGGGGTCCTGAGGAGGGAGTTGGGGGTCCCTGTGGAAAGTTTGGAGGGTTTGAGGGGTCATGAGGGGACCCTGAGAGGTTCTGGGAGGGAGTTGGGGGTCTCTGTGTAGGGTCTGAGGGGTCTCAGAGCCATTTGGGGAACCCTGAGGGGTCTCTGGGAGGGGGTTGGGGGTCCCCAGGGAGCCCTGGAGGGTCCCAAAGCCCTTGGGAGGGGGGGCGTTCGGGGGTCTCAGGTGGCTCTGGGGGGGCTCAGGGGCCCCCACAGCGGGGCTGGGGGTCCCAAGGGTCCCCAAGCCCCCTTTGCCCCCTGGCCAGGCCAAGTCGGCGCTGGGCTCGGCCGCCCCTGAGGCCGGAGCCCCCGGGGGGTCTGGGGGTCCGGGGGGTGGCACTGACCCCCCCTGCCCCCCCCAGGGCATCCCCGGCAGCCCCGAGCCCGAGCGCCCGCCCGTGCAGGAGTCTCGCCCCCCGGAGCAGCCCCCGCCCGAAGGTCAGGGGGCGTGGTGGGCGGGGCACGAGGGGTGGGGCTGGGCGGCCACACCTGCCCGAGGCTCCACCCCTTTGGTGGGTGGAGCTAAGTGCTCCTAAATTATTTGTTGTTGGGGGTGTGGTGTGGGTGAGCCACACTCATTTTGGGGTGTGGCCTGGGGTAAGCCACACCCCTTCTTTGATGTGATCTGTGTAAGCCACACCCATTTTGGGGCGTGGCCTGTGATGGTGGAAGGAGTCCATGTGGCCCCACCCCATCCAGCTAAAGTTGGGGGGGATAGGTGTGGTCTCACCACGCCCCATTGTGGGTGTGGTTTATCTGTGCTCCATTGTGGGTGTGGCTTATCCGTACTGTATTGTGGGTGTGGTTTATCTACCTCTTTGTGGGTGTGGTTTATTCACATGGCA